CTCTCTCTCTCTTTCTTTATCTTAATTATGCATTATCAACTACATATAAAGCAGCAACCAAAAACTTAGGGTTATCTGAGAAAGGTGAAAGTAAGAGTTAAAAAGAAAGTCATGCTAAAACGGCGCTTCACTTCCCACCGCCCCCTGAAAAAAAAAAATAGATTAGTAGTCCTCCTCTCCAGAATCCACCTCCCCCCCCCCCCCCCCCGCTTTAATATCACATTTTCACTTGGCAGCCCAAGGGGGCCGGGGGTGGGAGGAGGGGGTTAAACCCCCTACCCCCCCCCCCCCTGCCGTAGATCTGCCCATGTTACCATATCATTCCACGACATTTTGGTCTTCCTCTTCTCCTCAAAAGGGACTTTTAGATTTGCGTGGACGTGGACGTGGACGTGTTACGTCCTTTTAAGGCACTGGCAATCACATGTGACGTCCTTTTAAGCACTGGCAGTGCCTTAAAAGGAGGTCACACGTTGCAGTCCACGTTCTCATCGTGCAAATCTAAAAGTCCCTAATATTGATTTACTGGTCGAGGTTCATTATTTGCTGACAGCGAAAAACTTCTCCAGGCCATGACCATGTTTCTGCCCTTGCCCGATCGCCTCCAGCTCCAGCAGACATGGCGCGGCAGCGTGCACACGCACCGCTACTAACGGCGCAGTAGGCCTATAACCACTGCTGACGGCGGCACTGCACTGCGAGCTGAATCGGTAATAATAGGCCTACTCATAAAACGAGAAATCTTGCACGCTAATCTTAGTTCCATTTCATTGGTTTAAGGTTTGAAAATTGAAACTCAATATTGTGTTAAAGTTATAACAGAAAAGATTATCTTTATTTTATAATTCCACCGGGGCGATTTTTAATTCTGCAATCGCCCCCGTGAGCAACCTGACGGGGGCGATTTTGTAGCTCACGGGGGCGAATCGCCCACCGCCCCGTGTATTTTGAGCGCTGATGTGTTTGTTGGAAAATGACAAATTTCTAAATTTACAGCCAGGCCAAAAATATGATTCTTGAGATTCCAACATGTCAGGGCCCGAGGTACGGCGGGGATCGAGAGCCTCGAGCCCCCCCCCCCCCCCCCCCCCACTTTTCTTGAAAAAGTATATTAAAGAGAAATAAAATAGAATGAGAGCAAGAAAGTGAGAATAGTTAACTGCCAGTGTTAACAAAATAATGAGGCATCAAAATATGCTCATCTGACCGTGATTAAATGCCTAAAACCCTTAAGCTTCCCCCTTGCCCCCTGGATTCCATCTAGGGCCCTACGGCGGGCCCTTAGATGACCATCTGACGGTAATTTAATGCCTAAAACCCCTGATTTTTGGACCTGGACCCCACGCCAAATAGTGACCTGCCAGTGTCGCAAAATAATAAGGTATACATAAAAATATGCTCATCTGACCTTAATTAAACGCCTAAAACCCCTGAGCTTCCGGGGCCGGCTTCGCCGCCTCGACCCCACCAGGGGCCCTAAGGCGGGCCCCTGAATGCTTATCTGACCGTAATTTATTGCCTTTACCCCCTGAGCTCGCGGGGTCGGACAAGGTATCGAGATGTGTTTATCTGAATTCAGACGAGGATTAAGAGTCGAGAACTGTGAAACGAATCGTTTTCTTTCTCTAATGATTTAATGAAACGTAAAAGCTTCCGCGCTTCGCGCAGGAGGGGGAGGGGGAGGAACTGAATTTAGACAAGGATTAAGAGTCGAGAACTGTACAACGAATCGTTTTCTTCCTCTAATGATTAAATGAAACGTAAAAGCTTCCGCGCTTCGCGCGGGAGGGGGGGGGGAACCTGAATTCAGACGAGGATTAAGAGTCGAGAACTGTACAACGAATCGTTTTCTTCCTCTAATGATTAAATGAAACGTAAAAGCTTCCGCGCTTCGCGCGGGAGGGGGGGGGGGGGGGAACTTGAATTCAGACGAGGATTAAGAGTCGAGAACTGTACAACGAATCGTTTTCTTCCTCTAATGATTAAATGAAACGTAAAAGCTTCCGCGCTTCGCGCAGGAGGGGGGGGGGGGGCTGAATTTAGACAAGGATTAAGAGTCGAGAACTGTACAACGAATCGTTTTCTTTCTCTAATGATTTAATGAAACGTAAAAGCTTCCGCGCTTCGCGCTGGAGGCGGGGGAGGGGAGGGGAGGGGGGGGGGACTGAATTTAGACAAGGATTAAGAGTCGAGAACAGTACAACGAATCGTCTTCTTTATCTAATAATTTAATGAATCGTAAAATTTTCGGCGCTTCGCGCGGGGGGGGGGGGGGGGAAACTAAATTCAGACGAGAATTATTTCCGAGAACGGTACAACGAATCGTCTTCTTTCTCTTCGCGCGGGAGGGGGGAACCTGTATTCAGACGAGGATTAAGAGTCGAGAACTCTACAACGACTCGTCTTCTTCCTCTAATAATTTAATAAATCGTAAAATTTTCGGCGCTTCGCGCGGGGGGGGGGGGGGGGGGGGGGAAACTAAATTCAGACGAGAATTATTTCCGAGAACGGTACAACGAATCGTCTACTTTCTCTAATAATATAATGAAACGTTAAAGCTTGGGAGGGGGAAACTCCCCCCCCCCCCCGCATTACGTCACTGTTGGTCACCATTACGTACCAATATTTGGCTCGCACAATTTCAAATTTGGGCCCCCCCCCTAAGAAATCCTGGATCCGCGCCTGGCTGTTTGTCCAGTGTGTGACGTCACTATTCAGAGCTCGCTACGCTCGTGCGTTTGGCTTACGTTCGGGGGCGCTTGGGGGTCTAAGAAGGGTCTTGAAAAATTGCATTTTACGCCTTTCCATGATATCTATATGATTTCTCAGCAAATTATTCGTGGTTTTCAAGAGAAAATATTTCCATCCATATGTAATTTGTTCTAATTATCAGTTGTTAGTGAATTTTCTTTGTGTAGCTCCTGCACATCAAATTGGATGGATTTTTTTTAATATTTTTTTTTTTAAGTACACTTTTTCTGGTAAAGAAAATTTCTGGATTAAACTGATTAACCATTCACTAACAAGGGATTCTGACTATTCACTTCCACCTATCTTTGCTCCCATTGATCTGATTTGATTTGATTTTCGTATGCATTGACATGTAAGCATACAGTTTTTCGATAACAATAATAATATAAAGTACAATAACTATTTTTCTGACAATGAATCATAAATAAGCAAATACATATTATATATAATTGTTATTTTCAAAAACGAAATGTATTACTGTCATAAATACTAAATTTTCTCAAACATTATAAAACATTATAAAATTATTTGCGGAAGAAGGACTGTCATTGTAAGTAGATTGCTTGATAATACGACAGCCCCAGACAAAACTCATGAAATATATTAACACATTTATTAAGCAGGAACGGACAGGTAATTGAAAATACAAATTTCGATGATGGTGATGCAGATGAGGATGAAGATGATGAAGATGATGATGATGATGATGATGATGATGATCTCGAGGTAGCAGATAGCAAGGCAATGGGAAGAATCACTTGGCTTGAGAAATATAGCTTGCCTATACTAAATAATAGTGAGGACAACATATATGTTGATTCCAAAGTTTTAGGAGGAGATCCCCCCCCCCTCTCCTTAAAGGTACTTGGTAAAATTGTTCAGATGAGAGAAACTGGTGCTGAGGTAGTGACTTTATAGATAGATGTACAATTACAGATGATCTGAAAGTTTGAGTGAAAACAGACCATTATTATTTGTTAGAGGTTTAGTACGGTAGAAGGAATATAATAAGTAACATTTCATACAAAAAATACAATTTTTTCTAAACCAACCTTCAACAATGTTACCGAGTCACTATAATAGGTGTATAGCTTGTCGATCCTTTTATCTTCCATTGTAAGATGTGCGGTTACGTAATCATATTAAAAGACGTTTTATGGAAATGAACTTCACAGAGTATTCTGTTCGCTAATCCAGAACCACTATGGGAAGACTAAAATGAATGCAACGATAAGGACGGAAAGTAATTGTGTTTCGGAATCGTCTATGACGTAATCAACACACAAGTCTATCGCAGGGTCATCTAGGCTGATCGAAGATCGATAATTGCAGATGTTAAACTAGACAGCAAGTAATTGAGACAATCTGCATATAATAATAATAATAATAATAATAATGTAACTTATATCGCGCCAAATCCACTCTGTGGAGTGCTCAAGGCGCGTGTAAACAGGAAAAAAGATCAAGACTGAGTCAAAAAAAAGTTTACACCTAGAAAATTGATAATTATTTTAAAAAAATCATCTATGAACAGTAAAGTATTATACATCTTATGAAAGAGTGTTTTATCCCAAATCATTTTGTATCATTTTTGTGTGCTATGTGTTCTCGCTTGGATTAACATGAGGCATTGTTTGCGAGAGTGCAACAATTGCGCCAAAGTGATGCCTTTACAGCATGTATTATGTTGGAATTAGCGGAGTGAGAGAATGAATTGAATGTATCAAATGAAATGCATTGGATATGCTTTTTGCAGAAGCAAAATTCACACACACACGCACTTTTATGTACATTGGTACTTGATGTTTGATATTTGATAAGTGTGGCATAATTAATTTTGTTAGGGATGTTATTTGGATCTGTAAAGACCGAATTAATACCCGAATCCCAATTGTTTTATTCACACATTACACAAGCAACTTTGGCGCAATCGATTTTTGCGCTCTCGCAAACAATGCCTAGTGTTCATCCAAGCGTGAACACATACCACACAAAAATGATACCAAATGATTCGGGATAAAGCACTCTTTCATAAGATGTATAATCATTTACTGTTCATAGATGATTTTTAAAATAATTAGCAATTTTCTAGGTGTAAACTTTTTTTTGACTCACGCTGTATGCATGGGCGTAAATCCTTACGTAATACCTTTTGTTCAGGGGGATTATCTATTCATTCATCCCCCCTGAACAATAGGTATTACGTAAGGATTTACGCCCTGACCCTTGGAGAGATTTCCTTTCTCTTCGTCTTATGACAGAGTTTTATGAACAGTGATATTTCTTGGAGATTCCCTTATATGAACTTTAATGCACATGCAACACCACTCGAGAGAGAAAGAGACTGGTTCGCTGTTTGCTTAGGAAGGTAAGTAACTTTGCTAAATCATCATCTCTCAAAACTGACGTATTTGTCGACTTATCATACCTATAGCCGGGAATGGTTATGTTTACAAGATTCTGCCAAAAGTATACACCCCTTTGTGTGCAGAAGTCTATGGCTGTTTGATGTGTATGTAACAGATTTCAACAAAAAAAAATGGATCCTGAGTCAATGGACTCAACATTGAACTGTTTTTAGCAATGATATTTTATTAGTACAGTACATTCCTCAGATCTACAAAAGACTTTGGCGTTGACCATATTTTATGTGTAAGAGAGGGGAAGGAGGGGCAACTCATGTAACAAAGCATTTAGGGTCCTCATCATAATGAATTTTGTTATTATTAATTTTTGTTAAAGGTAAATGCCCCCCCCCCACACACACACACACCTGAAGCCTGTAACATCAGTACTTAGATCAATATTTTTGAATGAGTATTCATTTTGACATTATACGTCCTGAAGCCTAGTTGAACAACTTGTGTAATGACCCAATAAAATTGTGAAATCAGAATGGGTTCTTGATCAGGGTGTTTTAATGGGCCAAGTCTGGCAAAGTATAACTTATGAACATATTGAACATTTCAATCAGATTATAATGCACTTTTATGTTGCGTGCTTCTTGTGCATTCTGTTCATATATGAATAATTCATGTTGTGTTGTTGTTGTTGTTTTAGTTTTATTAGCGTGTATCATTCATTTATGAATATTTACGCCGAATTCAAGTTGCATTCAAAAAAGTGAATGGAAGCAGAAGAAAGAAGGGAAGAAAAAAATCTACGTTGTTTAATTTTTCGCATTTTGCGGAGATTCCATACACTCAGGCTGTCAACATAAAATCCCCAGGTAAAATCATAGACCGTTTTGTGAGTAATTTCTGGCATGCTTTGTATGTATAGGCCTACTTATAGTATGTAGACTTTGCTTTGTATGTAGACTTATGAATTAATTGTTTTTAATGTTTGCCGTGAGTGAAAGTATTTCTCTTTCAACAGTGATTAATATTTGCACCTTGCAAATATCACGGGTCAATATAGCTTTTTTGAGCAAATTAACGATGGCGTGCTCAAAAGGGCAGATTACTTGTGAAGAACTTTATAATATAGTTTCAAAGTAGTTTTCCATACCAGTTCTGAGTTTTATTTGCTTTGTGTAGGTGTGTGTATTTTAATTAGATTATCTTTGAAACATATTCTTCTCGTCGTATTAATGCTACATTGTCAAATTCGTATATTGTATGACTATATAGTTTCTTTTGGTGGAGTGGTCTCATTTCAATTTTCTGTATAATAGGCGTAGAGTATAAGGAGGGAAAAAAAAACATTGTTTATCTACAAATGCAACTGTTTAAAGGTATTACAAAGTTTTGGTATGGGGTCATGAATTTGGTTCAAATTAACATATTGGAAGCATATACGTTCTTACAATATACATTGATCGTTGTCGCGGTTGAAATCGAGTCTAAAGTTATGAAATTATAAATAATAAACTCTTTATGTTGTATAGCTCCCTCTCAAGGTCAAGATATTAATTTAACTATGAAAAAAATGTTTCTTGACTAAAATCGACCGATTAGCTATTCCCGTTTGGAAATTATATATCCCAACTACATATTCTGAGATTTTCATGGTCGCAGCTACCATTGTACGGCCATAGGCGCTATTTGAAATTTATCAAAATTTACCGGGAGCACCGGTAAATTTTTATATTCAATTTTTCACGAAAACAGAAGTGTTTTAGGGGCTATTTTTTTTAGTGCTTATAATACATTCACAGGGGCATCCAAATATATCAAAATTGTAAAGATTCACTATCCACCCAATTTTCAAAATCTCACAAAACTTTGTATTACCTTTAAGTATGCTGTATTTGCATTGTGTTATGAACTATCTTAGTTATTGATGAATAAAAGTCGCTATTTCTAAATTTGAATCTTTGCTATTAATGTTGGTTGCTGTATGTTTCTTTGTGTCACCTTGTGCTTACTAAACAGAGTGGAATTTAAACTATATGCTCAAATACATATGCAAATATTTAAGAAGAAAGTCATTTTTACAGATTTTTAATTTGTTATGGGCTGTCGGCACATATATATATTTTTTTTTTGTCCATTTTTTGAGGAAAATTTTCGCAACGACTCAGATGACCGCTGAATAAGCGGGGGGGGGGGGGGGGGTAAGAGCCCCGGAAATTGGAAAATTACATCGTCAGATATTTCGTTCAGTGGCTTGGGGGAGGGGGGGGGGACACTTTTTTTATTTTTTTTTTAAAGATGAGTTCTGGTCATCTGATTGCATTGTGAAAGAAAGGTTGTGGAATGGATCAGAAAAAGTTGATCATGTAGCATGTAAGTATTGGTGTGTACTTCAAAGTTCTGGAGTCATCAAAACCATAACAAATTTGGCCCAGCCTTGGTAAAGTAACAAGTACTGTACACAGAAAGATGTATATGGGACTACACAAAATGGTGTCGGGGCTCCTAACCTTGATTTTCTAATCTTTCTATGCTCATTGCTCAGCCAGTATACATTTTCTACCAATTTCTTTTGGCAAATGACATTTATTTGTAATCTAGAACATTCAGTGTAATTTTCGTTTGATTCTGTGAGAATGTTTTTGTTTTTTGTTTACCAGAACTCACCTTTATCTTTAACCCCCCCCCCCCCCCCCCCCCCCCCCCCCCTGCGCACGCGTCTGTCTGTACGGTTGCAGATTATGAAAAAGAAAGCTCTCTGCTGGAAAATGTTTCCCTTTACCTCTTGAACTTCTCTCTTTTTTCTCCTCAGTTCTTTCTTTCAATGTCTTCCAAGATGGAACATAAGCCTCGTCGACTTTACTTTTTGGAGATTATGTCTACGAGAAAGAACGTGATCGTTGTCGTCGGCATCATTGTTCTATTGATCCTCATCAATCTCGGGTTCGTCCTTCGAGGACTACTTGATATTTCTTCAGGTGTGTATCAGATGAAAACACAACTATTTCGACACAATTATACAGTGATCTATCATTTTCATACAACATAAATCGGTTATACAGTGCGTCCCAGAAAAAGACGAAACTGAGAATTATGGAAGTTTTATCATAACTTAGTCACAATTATAATTAATAAATGACACAAATTTGTAAAGCTTGGATCCTCCTCTTTCATTTGATCCAACTCATTGATGCATATTTTATGCATGAGTGATTAAAATCAATTTGAAGAGAGGAAACCGAAAAGTCATTTGGCGGACGGTATCTGAGTTTCGAAGAGAAAATCACATTTCTAGAAAGTTGAGTTTCTGCCCTTTCATATATGCCTCTCAATCAGGAAAAAATGAGCAAGGAATGACAAAGTTCTGTTCGTTTAAAGTAGTGCTTGCATTTCCATAATTTTATCAAACGAATTCGTTTTCACTGGCTACCTGCCGTAGCAACATGCAGAATTGACGAAAGACTTAACTCCGTTTCGTTGACAATCAGCCATGCATAACGTCTTTCGTCTACGGCTGATTGTCAACGAAACGGAGTTAAGTCTTTTGTTAATTCCGTTTGTTGCTACGGCAAGCATCCAGTGAAAACGAATTCGTCTAATCAAAGTATGGAAATGCAAGCATTACTTTAAACAAACGGAACTTTCTTATTCCTAGCTCATTTTCCCTGATTGAGGTGTCATATGAAAGGACAGAAACTCAACTTTCTAGAAATGTAATGTTCTCTTTGAAATTCAGATACCGTCCGCCAAATGACTTTTTGGTTTCCTCTCTTGAAATTAATTTCAGTCACTCATGAGTTTTAATCATAAGCTTTACAAATATGTGTCACTTATCAATTATAATTGTGATTAAGTTATGATACAACATCGATAATTCTCGGTTTCGTTTTTTCTGTGACGCACTGTATATATCCCCTATCCCCCCCCTCTCCACTCCTCATTCCCTATCTCTGTCACACACACACTCTCTCTCTTTCTCTTTCTATCTCTCTCTTTCTCTCTCTCTTTCTCTCTCTACCTCTCAATATCTCTTCGAAAGCACTAAAGAGTCATAATCAATTAATTTGTCCCAACTTTGTTATGAAGGAGAAAATTCATGGACTCTATTATAGTGACGGAACCATCAGCACCTGCATAAAAAATTATCAGAAACACCAGTGAATGTTCCAATGGCTATATACAACCTATTGGGCCGACAGGCCAGTCGACCGACAATTTTCTATCTTCCCTCATTCATTTATTTGCTTTTCGGTATATATATGGACCACTTTTGTCAACCTTCCATTGTTTGAGTTAGGGAAGGCTATTGAAGTTACTCGTAGTCGTAATAGATATAACTTTCGAGATGAGAAAAATTTAATTGTTCCCAATTTTGTTTTTTCTTGCCCTTGTCTTACGGCTCCTTCAAAACACTTTTAAATAAATAGACGACACCACAGGTTTTACATTTTACGCCATCAAAAACGGCGGTATACGTGACCAAAGCCCGTTAAGATTATGTCGTCACGATAAGATAAATTGTACATTCAGCAAAAATATTGCTCTTTTGGAATCCCATTATGTAGCAGAAACATATATATATATATATATATATATATATATATATATATATATTTTTTTTTTTTGGGGGGGGGGGGGGGATGGGTGGGGTAGCTAGGACTGAATAAAATTATATACCTTCTTAAATTTCAGAATTCACAGTATACAGTGTAATTATATTCTTAACTTTGGAATCCTCTGCATGCAGATCCAGTTTATAAACCGAAGGCACGTTTCCGAAATGAAGAACAAGATGAACGTATATCCACGGTATGTAACATCAATCATCAATCTTACTTTCAGAGGTGCTATGTAATTACATATCATAAATGTAAGGAGCATGAATGCATGATGTATGCAGAGGACTTGGAAATTAGTCTGTTTATTGAGAAAAAGGATAATTTAATTTGGCAAAGTGTGGTGTCAAATTACTTGAGTATTTGTTTCAATATCGAGTTTTTCCCTCATATTTTTATCTCACCATTGGAAGGATCGAAACCTGTGGATCAATCAACCCCACATTTGTGAGATCAGTTAACCCCACAAATAGCCCTAATCCTAATCCCAAGTTTGTTATTATTTCAATGAAACTGTTTAGATTAGACTCACGTTTTGAAGAAGAACAAAGAAAATATACCTCGCGGTGATTATTTTTCTCTGTGAAAACAAATAAACACAAAGTTTAGCTCCATCATGTCTACTGGGATCTGGAAATATGAGATCTGAAATTATGCAGTTTGAAGATGGTAAAACGATTTCTCACTATCTCGATACAGATTGGGACTTTATACGACAGTGTAATAAACTTGTCAACCAATGCTCCAGTTGATAAGATGACATCATCTAATATATTTTTCATGGATGAGCAAGATGCGATCCAGAAAGCCAGACGAGCGCAAGTAAGCCACACTTGTATCAAGAACAGTTCAGGTGGGACATTCACAGATTTTATGAAGTTAAGCAGTCATTACCTTATTGTTGATGAGAAGTACAAGCTCATCTATTGCTCAGTTCCAAAGGTCGCTTCTACCAGCTGGAAACGAGTACTTCTGGTCCTGAGGGGAATTATGAAGGACACCTATGATCTCTCACAGTCAGACGTTAACAACAAAGTAGCGCCCCAGAAACTAAAGTATCTTCGGTTTTACCCGGAGGAGGACATTCGGAGGATGCTGAAAGAATTCACCAAGTTTTTAGTCGTTCGAGACCCCTTCTCAAGAATTTTGTCAGCTTTCAGGAATAAACTAGACCCTCTGTCAGACTTTAGGAAATGTGATATCTGGCAGAAGGGTATTGGTATGCATATTCTGAAGAAATACAAACCTCAGTCTCTCATTGGACCAAGTCGTCCTGTATTCAAGAGACTCTCAACACCAAAAGGGGTGGTCCGCTATGACTTAAACATGGCTGACTTTGTCAAGTTCTTGGTAGACCCTCTAGAGAAAAACGACGAAGAACATTGGTCAGAAATCCATAAATTGTGTTCTCCGTGTCTAGTCGAGTATGATATAATAAGTAAATTTGAAACGTTGGACACAGACGCTGAATATATTCTCCGTCGTATACACGCAGACTCTATCGTCCAATTTCCATCATCGATTGGAAGTAGTCCTACGAATAGCTCTAATACTGCGTCAATAAAGTCATATTTCAAAGATGTACCACGGAGCGACTTGGATAAACTATACAGACGCTATCAGTTAGACTTTGAGCTTTTTGGTTATGATAACCCCGACATGGGCCTATCGTAGTAAGTGCATTACTTGTGTTATTTACAGAATAATACTTTGTCTCAATGCCAGTATTTAATGTTATATAGATGTGTGAATACATTAAACCTATATTTTTATATTTCGTCTGATTTAGATGCATATTAGGAAATTGAAGTGAATGGAAATAGTTTAAAAAATCATTTCATATCATCATTTCAGAACTCATGTACCATTATTATAAATATTTGAAGTCGCTAATAAGCACTTATATTATGTTTAGCAATATTATGAACTATATGACTGTTATCTTTGATGGTGCACAATACAGTTAAATAATTAATATTAGGGCCCTTTATTACATTCCACTGCCAAAAGTTTGCTGCATGACGTAGATGGGGTGAAATTGACCTGACTGGGGGTCCGTTTTGGAGGGCTCAATACTGGGGGCTAAAGTCGATTTTTTAAATTAAAAAAACAAGATTATTACAACTGATTTTGAAATCAGACGTTTAATAAACTTTCTTTTACTCTAAATTACTACCTTTCCCAAGCCGGGGTTAGGGACAGGGCATCTCTCTATAAAAAGAGGGGTTTTGTCCCTTTTCCTGTCTCCCTCGCAAGAAAAAATAACAATATGACATTTTTCCTCACCCGGTTGCCAGAATTTACGGACTCCCAGGTCGAAATTCCATTAGGATCCGATCCTATTGGACCATCAGAAACCATTAGAGCTATTGGTGTCTTATGGTTTCAATAGGGAAAGTGAAATGATGGACCCACAGAAACCATTAGAAAATATCTATTGGACCAACACAAACCCACAGAAAGAAATGCTGATGGACTAACAGAAAGCTTCTATTGGACCAGCATCCACCCATGTCTTCTATGGGTTTCTGTTGGTCCATTAGATACTTTCTTCTATGATGGGTTTCTGTTGGTCCATTAGATATTTTCTATATGGGTTCCTGTTGGTCCATTAGAGATCTTTCTATGTGTTTCTAATGGTCCCATATTCTGAATTCCCTATTGAAACCAATAGTCCAATGGCTTCCATTGGTAAATCGATTTTAGCAACTGTCCACCAAAAAAAGTATATTCTAGTCTCAATTGCATTAACTTCTTTACATAGATCTCTTGAAGTGAGTTAAAGAATATCCTTTATTTTAACTGAAAGCTTGTACTATTCCTATATAATAAACATACATGAATTATTTCTTGGTTAGTAATCATTATAATCAATATATATCTATTGCTAAAACGTGAATGAAATTGTAACATGATTAAACAAATAATCTATTGGTCATTAGTTGCCGAAAAAAGATAGAATTCACAAACTTGATGTACATTGTCATAAGTTGCTGAACAAATTATGATAAATGTAATTTTCTGTGAACACGTATGAAGTAATCATGAATATGCATGAGATAGATTTAGCTGTTGGTTTCGATTGGTTTCTATTAAACCTAGTGGTTTCTATTGGTCCCATTGGGTTCTATTGGTCTCATTGGTTTTCTATTGGTCCTATCGGTCCTATTGGTCCTATTGGTCCTATTGGTTCTATTGGTTTCTATTGGTCTTATTGGTTTATATTGGTCCTATTGGTTTCTATTGGTCCTATTGGTCCTATTGGTTTCTATTGGTCTTATTGGTTTCTATTGGTCCTATTGGTTTCTATTGGTCCTATTGGTTTCTATTTCTATTGGTTTCTATGGGTGATATTGGTTTCTATTGGTTTCTGATGGTTTGAATGTTTCGTAAGTACAACCATATAAAATATTTATTTTGGTCTAGGATACAGAGTTTCAAATTTAAAAACTCTTTTTTTTTCTCTCTCACTATATAGGTTGCTACGCTCCTTTGCAATTAAGAGAAGCATTGTTTTTTTTTTTACTACAACAATAGAACGGGTTTCTGGTGCTTTAAATACGCGATTTCAGCATTTAAAAAGCTATCAAATTTCCTAATTCTCTAAGATACAAAGTTTTTAAAATCTGAATATATCACTCGCAGTAGAAGCATTATTTCTTAAGACTGTACTATAGGAACATAGTCTACTCCATGTAACCCCAAATTGTGGGAAGGGGTTTCTTAAAAACTGGAGGAGGAAAACTCGTTTGGCCTCGCCTCTTGTAAGACAACAATATAAATTATATGAAATCATTTCGCAGTGCCCCTCTCAGAAGACAAAAATGAATGTAAATTATTTAAATGTTTAAATAAATTGTTATTTGCCTGAGTGTTTAAAAGTTTACTGAGTATGTGTCGCTTGATTTTATTTTTGGAAATATCACATAAGCAATTTTTCGTTCGGTCGCTGCACTCCCTCGCATAATATACTTAATTCAAGTACTGTAGGGATTATGTTCTCTTACGCATGCTCTGTCTTAAGTTAAAAATATTTCTAGCCCCATATAATTTGCCTCTTCCCCCCCCCTTAAAAAAATATATAAAATGGAAGAGTTCCGGTAAGCCTGATAAAATAGAGAGTGAGAGTGAGGGAGATCGTGGAGAAGGACAGAGGAAGGGATGGAGAGAATAAGCTAAGATAAAAAAGTTGAAATAGTGAGAACTCTTACATTACTTTTGAGTCAATATCAATTATAAGCGTTAACTCGCGGAGCATCATTCTGTTCTGTTGCATGCTTCTTCTCATTAACACCACTATCGGCGTCGTGATTCAGAGCAAGCAAGATGTTACCATCTCATAAACATAAGATTGTTCTCTGTGCAACAGCTATCATTGGTATGGTAGTATGTTCTATCTACACATCATTATCTTCACCATCCGTTAGACACCTGGTTGATATCAGTAAGTTTATCACTTTTCATATATAATTTGTTTGTACCAACATTTCTATATTATACGAAAATTGCATTAGGTAGCATTCGGAATTGTGTTTTGTGAAACGAAAAGTACTCTAGTTAAAATTGAGCTGTCGCTGTTTGAGAATGAATATTAATTATAAATCAGTTTCCACCATATTTTTGATGTCACATACGTGCACTTTTGTGTCCTTTTAGTTTGGTAATGATATTGAATACTCTAGTTACCATGAACATGAATATGAGAAAAGGAGATTAAAATAGTGTGTGTGACGTGAAATCAAATACTCGACTTGACTTTGGTTCTGATATCGTTTCCGAATTTGAATCACTTTCAGATTATGTTGATACAACGCTATTTATTCAAAATAAACAATGAGGTCTTTTATCTGGGGTTTGTATAGACCTGGAGTGCTGGTTATTAAACTATATTAATTATTTAAAGTCATTCGAAATACATTCTATTCAGGAGTGGCTAACTTCAGGGGGGAACCTATACCGGCAGGACTGGAAACGATATATACCAGGGAGCGCTAACATTATTTTAGGCATTGATTAACTTTCCTTTTGGCCTTTATAGCTTTTCTCAATGTTTCTATCATTACTTGGATCTTTTATATTTCTGTGAAAATTCAGTGAGGTTTTGCATGTTTAGTGTGAATTTCATTTTAATCTGTTTTACTGTTTCTTTCATAATCCTATAACTTATCATACTGACGATTGAGAATCTTGTTTCCTTTTATTTTTCAGAATATGAAAGTTTTTGCAAGATAAATTATACAGCGTCTTTGAAAAGGGTAAGAAAATCATCATTATTTACAATAAATGTTATGAAAATTAAAAGATTACTAACATTACATGTTATTAACATTAAATGCTATTTAAATTGATAGTCAATAATATGTACGCACTTATATAAATTTGACATGAGGCATAAAAGTAAAAATTATCCGGCTGTAGAAGCAGTGGTATAGTACACTAGCTTGATCATCATGAAAAGCACCTTTAGCATAATAGTCTTATGTATTTATAACAGGTGGCCCTCAAAAGAACGCAACATATGAGATCTGCTTTTTCGACGACAACATTCGGGTTTTGGGCGTATAAAATTCTTTCATAAATAAAATGACACCAAGATAATTATCATCGGGACTGGGTAAGACGTTTTAATTATACGTGTGTTTTTTGTGTGTAAGGCGACGTCACTTTCAAAATTTGCTACTTTTAAACCAAATGACTGCTCTCATCAACGACAAGTATGTTGTCAACACAGCTGATTATACGAGAAGACATAACGTGAAAGTGTTTTTTTTTAATCATCCTGATCAATAATTTATTATCATATCTTTTTCACCTTTCAATTCTTAGATGACATCTACATCTCATTCATGGAGGCCATTCCAACCGAAGGTTCAGTTACCCTTAAGTTACACAACGAAATCGAAGTCAACCTTGGCACCGACATCATTGACCGTGAACGGAGACAAGGAGTCACTTGATTCCATGGACACCCAGGTCGATATTCAGCGACGTCGTCGAGCGCAATTAAAAAAAAGGATGCCTCGCACACGATGTGCACTACAACCAGGGAGACGGCATGCCAAGCGGTACACTCATTGTCGATGATAAATACAAACCCGTCTATTGTAATGTACCGAAGGTGGCTTGTACGAGCTGGCAACGGGTCTTTCTTGTTTTGAACGGTGTCATGAACCACACCGACGATCTGTCACAACCACAAGTCAATAATAATGTCGGACCTCGTAAGCTCAGATCTCTCAACTCTTACAAGAAAAGTCGGAGAGCTGAAATCACAAAGTTTCTGGTGGTACGTCACCCGTTTCATTGTGTATTACTATTATCTGACTATCGAAATAAACTATGGGCAGGATCGCCGACATCAAATAGCTCGGAATCATTTCAGAGCGTAATTGAATTGCATATCCTTAAAGAATATAGACCAAATACAATATTGAATAACAAAAGTGGTAGCATCGAGCGTAAAGTGATATCCACAAAACAAGCGCGGAAAGTCATCTATGATCTCCGATTTGATGAATTTGTAAAATTCTTGACGAACACGACGGAAATAGCATCATTTCTGAAAAACCCTCATTGGAGAGAGATCAATCGACTATGTGGACCATGTCAAATCAATTACGACGTCATCAGTCATTTCGAGTCCCTGGTTGATGACGCTCTCTATATCCTTCGTCTTGTACATGCTGACCACATCGTTGAGTTTCCGTCCTCGAAAGGGAGTAGTCCAACCAACAGCTCTTCCAAGTCTCTATACGAGTCCTACTATGCTGGTGTTCCTCTGGTTGACTTAGAAAAACTCTACCAAAAATACCGACCCGACTTTGAATTATTTTGATATGAGAAACCAGCTGTTATTTTATGAAGATAAAGTCATTTGATTTTGTT